GTATCGCGACTCCCAGTTGTGGATGTCTACCTGCACAAGGTAACCACTTCTGAAACGTCTTTCGTTGCCAAGATTTGAAAGCACTGTTCACTGTTGAAAGGGTGAAGGCACCTGAAAGAAGCTGATTTTGTGATCCCTGCTTAGACCTATTTGAGGATAACATCAGCAATTCAAGCTTCAGATCTGCCAACTGTCATTCCCTGCCTCCTTCCATGAAAAATGTATCGCAACACTTGGATGACTGGCCTTCAACAAAGTGTCACGAAACCGCGAAGCAAGACTGGTAGGTTTCCCTGACGGCTTTGCCAACGGACGACTCTCACCGGACTGATTGCAGTAGGTAGAGGCAGGGTGCGGACGTTGAGGTGTCGGGCATGCTGCTCCGAGGCCCTTGTTCCCCCACCACTGGAGACGAACACCGCGTGCCGCAGTGCTGTCATTGCGGACACCCGATCCAGAACGTCCTTGTCCTGGAAGATTCCGTGCGCTTGGTCTATCAACCAGCAGGCAATATCAGTTGCCCTTTGCACAAAGTGGGAGACGTCACGAGGTAACTCCAGCTGGGGGATGGCAGCGAGGGCCTCTTTGTCATCATGAAAACCCGCTCCTAGAGCCGCCTGAACCCCATCAGCCCATGTTTCCTTCCCCAGCAAGGACTCCGCGTTCAGGATAGGGAATATCCTGACACGTCGTCCAGCCCTGCGCTCCTGTGCCGCCCAGATGAGCAGCCGGTTTGCTATGGAAACTAGCCCGTTACTCTTGCCGATACCGGACGGCCCAGCGATCTCCATCCAGCGCTGAGCAGCTGGGTTAATCAAGTGCTCCACAATCTGATCGAACACGCCTTTGAACCAATCTCTCTCCAGACAGACTGTCACCAAATCTCTCTCTGGAAGCAGCTGGTAGCGACTATCATGGCTGAACGGGACTTCCGATGGCAAGAGCCGCTGATGCCACCCCAACTCAAAGAGCTCTCTGAGTTGGCGTTCCTGGGCAAGGACCACAACATCATTGGCCACTGCTGAGGCTCTCTCGACTATCTCTCCACCTGCAGGCGTTGAAAAGGTATCAGAAGGGGCATCCACATACTTGTATATATGCAAGTCAAGCTCAGCGAAAGTGACCCCTGCTCCCTTTTGCTCAACCTGACCTCTTGGTAGTTTTACAAACTCTCAACTTCCAAACCCTGATCGTCACAGGGTGAGAGCTTTTCAATCGGCAGCCTCCCACGCCTTCTGGCATGCACTCTCAAAATAGACCCCTAGGTTCGCGCTTGGGGTAGCACATGAGGAACCAACAAACCATCTCAAAGACCACAGGGGACGAGCGGCGGAACTCATGACTCAACTATCTCTCATCCAATCGCTATTGCGCTGGTCTTGAATTTTGTGAGAGCTTCCTTTCTTTGACAAACCTGTCAGGCTGGAAAGCAGAGGCACTTGCAAAAACCCTGCCTCCACCTTCCAATCTGCAGTAAACCCTTGCCTGACAAATGAACAACCAGGG